AGTTTGCATCTGAGATAGCTCCGGGCTACAAATACTCACTGGACAAGGCAAGAGAAACGCTCCATAAGCGTAACTGATTAAAGCATTTCGAGCGATTTTGATTTCTGTAACTTCTTCTTCGTTTAATTTTTCGCTTTTAAGGCAACTATAACGTATTCATAGAACATAATCCAGACAAATAAGAATAGGTATAATATTATATAATATAATTTCGCACAGCCTTCCTTAGTCAGAAACGCAAAATTTATGTCGGTCCGAGCCGTATTTTTTATTGGTTCAATAAATATATGATTTATTGGTGCCACAGTATGAATTTCCACCCAAACGGTTGAAAATCGGCAACAATTTACCAAGAAAGAAGCCCAGTGGCCGACTCGTAGGGGTTATGAATTAATTAGCTTCGAAAAACGCCATTAGCATACATTAATTCCTCGTCCAGTAAAATATCCCACGCCGAGCGCGGTGAGCCAGCAGAGCGTCTCCTTGGCGCACACCCCAACGGTGATTTCAAAAGCACCTGGTTATAAATAGAGCATCCCGCCTCTATTATCATAAAAACAAATGAGCCCATCTGCCCAATGGCGAACCGGAACTCCGCCATTTTCTATTTTATCTTCGGTGTGCGGCCAGCGCATCCCTCTTTTTAATCCATAAAAGGCGCTGACAGAAAGTCCGGCTGGCCCTCTCGTTTACTTCACGTTCACGCAATGCGTATCGCAGTTTGTATCGATGAGAATTTTACGCAAGCGCTCTGAAATTATGGAACACTCGTGCCTCCTAATGTAATATTGCTTTTAATTTCTCCCGGATAACTGCCGCTAAGGAATTTACGGCTAAATACGCAGCACAGACGGCCATATTCCTTTAATGGATTTAAAATATTAATTATCTCGTTAATATCAGTCCCTAATTTATTTAAATTGATTTAATATATGTATGGTTTAGCTAATTAAAAGAAGATTAAATTCGTAATAACTTTGTTAGTACATGTTTCAGAAAAACGTACATTGTTATAAGGTCTTGTATTTTTTACTCTATGTTAAAGTTATTAATTGAAACGAATTGTAAAAATGCTCTTAATCTTGTCAAATGAAGTCAAACAATGTTCCTGGATACCAGAAATCTACGAATTCGTCAAAAATACAAAATACTTTTTTGAATTACTGCATTATTTAACAATTTCAATGTTTTTGGATAATTATTTATTTGATTACTGGATATTCCTGATATAACCCACAGTCAATCTAGCATTTAGTTATATACACTGTCAAAAAAGTAGGCGGAGTTTGTCATTTTGCGTAAAGTAGATTTAAATTTCTTTTTTGGTGGAAAGTTGGTAGTACCGTACTCTGACGCGTAGTTTGGGCGCGATCTGTGAAGTACTTTGTTTACAGCTGTTAATTTTGTTAGTCTAATTAATGTGTTCCGCGGTTTTTACTATGGATAATGTTATTGAACAAAGACTTTGCCTTAAATTTTGTGCTACCAACGGAATTTCTTGTGCTGAATCGTTGAAAATGTTGGGAAAGATGTACGGTAATTCAGTTTTATCGGAAACTCAACCATACGAATGGTACAAACCATTCAAACATAGTCAAGAGGTGGTTGATGATTTGCCATGTTTTGGTCGTCCTTCAACGTCTTCAACTGAAAAGAGCATCGATAAAGTGAAGGAAATGGTGCTTGAAAACCGTCATTATGGTTTGAGAGAGCTAGCATATGAACTAAACATAACTCACGAATCAATTCGCACCATTTTAGTTGATGTTCTGAGTATGAAACACGTCGCAGCGTGGCTGGTTCCAAATGAACTCAATTTTCTTCAAACAGATCATCACATCGCATTATAATGGGTGATGAGAAATAGGTTTACAAGTTTAACATACAAACGAGCCAACAGGAATGGCTTTTTCTAATGAGCCAAAACCAAAAAAAAAACACGTCAAAGTCGATCAAATATCAAAGTCATGTTGACTGTTTTGTTTGACTATCGTGGCGTTGTCCACACAGAATTCCTTCCGGATGGAGAAACAGTCAACAAAGAATATTGTCTGGGAGTATCCGCCGCAAAAGACCAGATTTACACTAGAACCGTTTTAAGATTGCCATTACGTCACGAGTGTGTCCTAATATCAAAGACAGTCGTTGCGGGCGTGAATTCATTATTAAACGCGCTAAAAAGAGATGGTATAAATGTCTTCATAGTCTCAATCTATCACAGACAACCGTTCCAATATTTTATGTGTATTAGAGTGAAAGAAAATGGAGGGCGTTTGTTGGGTATTAATTTTAGACTGTAGTTTGATTAGCGCATTTAAAACAAAGCAGAACTGACACTCAGATTAAAAATTTGACAGTTGTTTTGATTGCGTCTCCGTACTAACTGTTGTTTATATTTTCTGAGCGTTGAAATATCGATTTTTTGGCATATTTTTGTATCGAGGTACTGGTATTAACCAGTATTCAAATTTGCGAGATATCCAGATTTGGGAATTGTCAAGATTACATTTCAATTATATGAAAACAGTGACTAATTTGACTAGGATTTTTCGTCTTAGTTCTTACGAATATTGCTTGCGACGCAATGGAAAATATACAGTGGTTTTAGTGTATGGAAGGACTAATCTTGGATTTTGCTGCACGACAATGCACCCAAAGCGATAATTGTCCATAGTGGGATATGCGTTTAGAAACTGCTTTGGCGACTGGGTTGTTTGTTGGAAAAAGTGTATTGCTTCAAATGTTGCCAACTCAATGTTGGGGCATATACCTAGCCGATAGACAATAGAGTAGTTGTTACTTGCAATAGCAGTACTGAGGAATCTTGTCTGTAGGGTCAGTTATCATTTGCATGCCTATAATTCTGGTATCGAAGTCTGATTCGATAAAATTAAAAAGAAATTTTTTGAAATTGTTTGAATTAGTGAAAAAAAAATGATTGGACACAACAGACAACCTCATGTTTAATTTCTAAAGAACAGTTTTTTGAAGTAATAGTCGTAAATATTTAATTCACGTCGACCTATATAAAAATACAGAGTATCCCGAATTTTAATTGTTAAACTTTTTAAAAAAAGGTAGGTATCTTAATATCTTCAATCAAATCAAAATGGCATCCAACGTGAAAAAATTAAATGACTACTGAAAACAGTGGCGTAGAGGATATGCTTTTTTCATTTTCCATTTTCTTCATAATAGCACGCTATTGAAAATAAATATTTATTTATCACTTCAAATTCAATTTTTGTTTTGAACGATAAATGTCTCTTAGCTCTTTTGAAGCTCGATTAAATATTTCTACGTTGTAGTAAGTATGTTGACAGTCATATTTTATTTTAACCTCTCTTCAGCAGCAATTGTTTATATAAAAATTGTTCTTTAACCTGGGCTGTGCAAATCTATGAAATATTATGGAATTATTTTAATTTGTATTCAACATTTACCTGCCACTCAACGCAAATGACCCAAGGTAAATAACGTGTCACAATAATTAGAAAATTTTGAAATATAATCTATAAATGTATGGCTCCCTCAGAAAACAGTGATCATACAACGACCACAGATATAAAGGGTTGAATTTAAAGCAGCTTACTTTAGTCCAAAAGATGTGTCGTTTAAAAGTTACAGAGATATTATAAAAGTTTTACTTTTGAAACGGTTCTTCATTAACACATAATTTGAATCATAATTTCTGATTCAAATTTGGTACAAGTTATAAGCGCACGGAAATTAGTAAAAATCTTGAAATGTTTAATTTATCAGTGATGTACGAAGAGGCATGTTACCTTCTCTTTTTTGAAAATGATTTCCTCGCCTATAGATCTTTTAAGAAAAATGGCTACATTTTCTGAATGATCTGTTAATTTTATACAAAAAATGTCTAATTGTCAATTTCTTCTAAGCTACTATATTTCAAGAAAAAAAAGAGGGAATTCAATTTACTGTAAGAAGTTTAAGATAGGTACTACCTAATTGACTGTATACCTAGAAACAAATGTTTTAGTAATTATATTTTTTTTTCTTTTAACACATGAATTAATTGTGCAGATTTGAAAATAGTAAGAAAATACTGTGTTTTACTATCTCAGTTTTTGCACCTAAATGAACTCGTGCAGCAAAAATACATTTTTTAGCACTCCATTGATCTTAAAAAACAAAAAGGTTCATACAAACATAATTACTAAAGCTTTTGTTTCTGAAATATGCAGTCATTTTAGCTTTCATTTTTTTTAAATTGATTTTTAAGATTTGGTTGGTGACCACTTATTTTTTCTTTTTTGAACTGGATTAGATCAAGAAAAAACATATTATATATAAAATTGAAAATACTGATCATCCTTATTTTAAAATAGGCGAATCATTTCTCTTTTCTTTTTTTCTATTTTAAAGATGAAGTATTCCAAGTTAGAATATTTGTCTTTAAAATAGAAAAGACTAAAATAGAAAAAATCTATAAGTCTAATTCATTTAGTCTATAATATAAATGACTAATATTCCTAAGTTTACATCTAAATGTTCCTATACATAATTACAATTTTTTATATATAAAACACACAAGACGCAGAGTCCTGAAGATGTAATAGAAGCGACAAAACGTCAACAAACTGTAATAACGTTTTTTTGTTACACTTCCTGAGCCAATATAGATCAAAAAATAAAAATAGTAAATTGACTTTCACTGATAAGGTTCATAAGCGGACAAAATGTTTTGAAAGGCAAAGGGGTAGGCAATGAGATGTTTGATGATAATTTTTATAGTTTCCCGCATCCTATAACGTGTACCAGATCTAAATAATTGAACTGATTTCAATAAATATTAAGATTTTAATTCTCCTCAACTTTTAAAAGCATTTTTGAACTGCCTTAGAAATTTGTGACTGTTGTATGAACTTTTTTTCTAAAACACCCTGTATATACTGAACCCTAGTATTTACGTCACGATCATAGCTATAACAATACCAAACAAAAATTAGTTTGAAAGTTAGAAATATCGTACTCACGCTTGGAATGTTGTCGTTATTGCAGACACCTTCGGACAGCAACCGGTCCCTGATCTCCCAAGCAAAGATAGACGGGCATTCCCTCTTGAATTCCGCGATCTTGTTGACCACTGGCGCAGTGGCCACCCTGGGTTTGGAACCGCCGATGGCTCTCGGCTTGATGGAGCCCGTCTCGTAGTACCTGCAATCACAACTTTAATCAGCCAAACATAAAGAATAGGGTCGTATCGAACTATTACCTCCCCAGGATCTTGGACACGCAGCCGTTGGACACCTGGAGGATCCTGGATATGTCGCAGGGTCGCGCTCCGGAATGAGCCAGTTCTACGATTTTTTGGCGGGTCGAGTCCGGTAACGGCCGGCCGTTGACGTAAACTCCCCCTAATTGGTTAATGCCGCTGTGACCAGCTGTGGAACATCCAAAAATTGTATTTTGGCCCATAGAGTGATGCATGAGGTCCTCTTCTGAAAAGAGGGATTTGTAGTAAACCGTGAATTTTGCCAAGTACGAACACTTTGGCTTTTAGCTAAAGTTATTCTCGAATATTTTTTTTATATACAGGGTGAGTCAAAATTCACTCCCCAGCGGCCGGATATATATTCTAAAATAAAAAATAAAACAAAAATGTAGAATACTAAAATCTCGAAAGCGGAGCCGTTTTCAAATAAATTATTAATTTTAGTTCAATAAATGCGCAAATTTCGACAGACTAATCAAGTTGGCTGGACAAAAACAAGTAGTTTTCAATGACCACAACCTTCATTATTGGCATTATGAGAATTCTCATGAAAAACGTCAACGGACTCAGAAAAGACATTGGTCTGTAAATGTTTGGATAGTTATTTACGGGAAAAGGATCATAGGTCCATATTTTTTGCCAAGAATACTGAATGGTGAAAATTATAGTAATTTTTGCGAGAACATTTTGCCAGGTTTGATAGAAGATATTCCTCTACAACAACGTGCAACTATGTGGTTTCAGCATGAAGGTGCGCCCGCACATGCCACATTACAAGTACGACATATTTTGAACCTAATAAATGAATTGGACGGGGTGGACCAACACCATGGCCACCTCAGTCTCCTGACTTGATTCCGATAGACTTTTGGTTATGGGGATACATAAAAGAAAAGGTTTATTTTACTGTGCTTGTAGGCAGGATTCATGTAGCAGTAGCGGAAATAAATTAAGCTAATTTCTGTTCCGTTGCCAGGAGTTTCTACCACAGATTGCAGAAGTGTATTAACGAAAATGGTAATTGTTTTGAAGGTTAGCCAAAGCCAGAAGGATCTTCGTTCTTGCTATTTCTTAGTTTGTATGGATTTAAATAGTGGATTTTAATGGTGTTAATATTAAACAAAAAAATTATAAATTTGAATTTTTCTTTACAAAATTTTCCGAAAACGGCTCGGAGATTTTAGTATTCTACATTTTTGTTTTATTTTTTATTTTAGAATATATATCCGGCCGCTGGGGAGTGAATTTTGACTCACCCTGTATACTATCCTTAAGTAAAATCGAATTTAGGACACTATTTATAAGCTTAAAGGTAAATATGGGATCAATAATATTAAGGTTCGCGTTTTCCAAATAATAAATTATTAAACTACCTCCAAAAGTGTTGGTATCTAATGAAAATAATGTAAACTGCAAATTAAAGAAAAATAGAATTGGAGATAAGTAAATAGCATTGACGAAATTGAACTGAAGGTCATGCGCTCAGGTCCTATCCTAAAAGATTTTCAATACTTCGTCTAATCCAGGTCCGTAGGAAAAAAATACCTAAAGTTTAGATGTCCATTTTCAATATATTCAACATTAAGTTGTTATCTTAAAATGATATCTACAATATTTCTCTAGTTGATTCGGAAAAATTAACTACTAAAACCACTAAAACCGCGTTACATGGCATTTTTTATGTTGTTTCCGCAATCTTCTTTTTTGTGAAGATTTTTGTAAAATACTTTTCTGTGCAATTTTTAGTGCAGAATCCAATCATTCAACTTTTGATTTTTTAATTATTGTAACTCAACTGTTGTAACATAATAATGATAAAATTTGGTTCTAATTTCAAGACTGCCCGCTAAACACTAGTGTGAAAGTATTTTTTAGCTGCCGTCGGCGAAATGTAGTTGTGAGAAAAAGGATAAATAAAAAATCATAACATGTACACTATACATATTAAGTGGTTATCTACATTGTTATTTCTCAAAATAATGTATAAACTCAAATTTTTTGTATACATTTATATGAACGATACAGTTTATGACATTTTTTGTACGGGAATTTTCTGCATATTTCAAAAACAGGAATTTCTATAATGCTAGATAGTCAAATGCATTATTCTTCAAAGCTATGCAATCTCAAGATTGCAAATTTTATTTTACGTTATAAACTGCAGAAAAAGTATATTTCAAAGTATATTTCGCTGGAAAATATCGTAGCTATGGTTTTGATAAAGTGATTTATACAGAGATACAACATTGTATCAAATTTTCCTAATTTACCACAAGTTAAAACACAACAGTTTACAAAGTTTGGCAACTTTGACATTTCACAATATCAAAATGTAACTTCAAAAACTACCTCTGCGCATTGGCGAGGCCGTCTGTGTATTTTTCCCGAAATTTCCATATATTTTCTAAGAACAGAATAGAACAATATACAGGGTGTTCCACCTACGAGGTATTCTTCTGTAACTCTGTAACTGTAAAATTTATAAATAAAATGGTTTTAATCAAAGTTGCCTGGATTCATTTAAAATATTTTTAGCTTTACAACGTGTTCCATTTCGCGTGGGCTACATAAGTTTGTTATTTTAAATGCAACATCCTGTATATCATTGCATTTTTGAATTCCTTGTTTAATATTAGGTAGAGTTTATTAAGTGTACATGGTGTTTAAAACTTATCGTTTTAGAGATAATCAGTTGTTTTTGAAAAAAATCACAATTTCAGTTTTCTAAATGAGGCTAGATAGCGTCTAAACCGTAAGAGTTAGAAACCTGCTGTTTTCACAGTTCGTTTCGGCATAAATTACTCTATCTTGTCATCTGCGAGCAAAACGTGTACGTTAATCATACTCGGAAATACTGAGACCTACATTTAATAATCTTACGAGTTGAAAAACTTTTTTTTTCAAATGGAATGACCTATATTGTCGGATGAATGTAAAATTGAATGCCCTTTCGACTGATATAAGGTTGTCCATATTTATCTTTAACAGTTTTCCAGAAAAATCAGGATTATAAATACTGACGTACCGCAGCTAGAGGTATTGTGAGGTGGAGCACGATCATGTTGCATCTATATTATTCGAAATGTAGCTAAAGGAATGTCGCCTAATAAAGATTCTAGAGTGTTTGTTAAAAAGTTTAAATAAAATTCTCCAGTTAGATGCTGGTCAAAAAAGAATAGTCCAATGATATGGGTTCCCAAAATTGCTCCCCACACGTTCAAAGACCATCGTTGGCTATGAGTTATCCGGAATTGGTGAGGATTTACTGTGTTATAATAATGACAATTATGACTATTAACGAAACTGTTTTTATGAAAAGTAGCCTCATCGGAGAACATGACCCGTTTAAAAAATCATCATCTTGATTTGACATATCAAGTGCCCATTTATAAGACTCCAGTTTCCGCTGAAAGTCTACTTTTAGTAATTCTTGGTATAATTAGATGTGCTTTTGTGAAATCCTATGTATAGACGTTGTACTAATACAATTGCAAGGCCTTCTTGACGCTGTTACATAGCTACTTTTTTAACTTTAGAAAAGAACCCGATTTTTTTGGAAAACTGTTGGAGATAAGTTTAGACAACCTTATATCAGACGAAAGGGAATTCAATTTTACATTCACCCATGACAATTAATATGGGTTATTCCATTTGAAAAAAAAGTTATTCAACTCGTAGGATTATTAAATGTAATCTCAGTATTTTCGAGTCTGAATAACGTACACGTTTTGCTCGTAGATGACATGATAGAGTAATTTATGCCAAAACGAACTAGAAAACTGCAGGTATCTAGCTATTACGGTTTAGACTCTATCTAGACTCATTTAGAGAGCTGAAGTTGTCATTTTATTAAAAAACAACTGATTATCTCGAAAACGGTAAGTTTTAAACGCCATGTACATTTAATAAACTCTACCTAATATTAACCAGGGAATTAAAAAAAGCAATAATATGCAGGGTGTTCCATTTAAAATAACAAAGTTATTTATCGCCCACGCGAAATGGAACACCCTGTAAAGCTAAAAATATTTTCTTTACATGGCCCACATGATTCCAGACAACTTTTATTAAAACCATTTTTTTATAAATTTTACAGTTACAGAGTTACAGAAGAATCCNTATACTTTTATACTTACATTACTTCCGCAATGTTCTTCTTTGTGAAGATTTTTATAAAATACTTTTCTGTGCAATTTTTAGTGCAGAATCCAATTCAGCTTTTGGATTTTCAATTGCTGTAACTCGACATAATAATGATGAAATTTTGTTCTAATTTCAGGACTGCTTGCTAAACACTAGTGTGAAAATATTTTTAGCTGCCGTCGCCGTCGGTTAAATGGTGTAAATATTACAGAACACTTATTATTTCTCAAAGTAATGTATTTTTTGCATGCATTTATATGAATGACATAATTTCTTTTACTTTTGTTTTAAAAGCTATTACGCTAACGATATCCTTAGAGCAGCGTGGTAACTTATTTTACAATTTAATACCCATGTACATGGGGCTCCTTTCATAGAGTACTAATTTATGTTTGGGTATAAGCAAATCATTCTGCCCACGAGTGATGAAAGTAATTTTTTACAAAATAATCATAGTGTACCTTAACATATAGAAGTATTTGAGCAATATACACGTAAGGCAAGGAAGGGTAACACCCGCTAAGTTTTGAAATATGGTCTACATGAAACAAAAGTACTTATTCCCACAATATTACGTATTCCTTTCTTTTGTAATTTAAAAAACTCATTCGCACTAGGGGGATGAACCCCAAAATTTAATTCCATAAGACATCTTAGAATAAAATTGGCCATAATAATACGAGAGTAACACCCTCATGTTTGCAATACTTCTCAGTCTCTAAATCGCATAGCACATAGGAGTTAGTTTTTTACACAGTTCTACAATGTGTTTATTCCAACCCAAAACACTGTCCATGTAAATACCAAGAAATTAAGTGGATGACACTTGTTCTAAAGATTTACCATTAAGTTTTAGTAAATAATTTTCATTATTATCTTTTATCGTTGGCTGAAAATATATAAATACGGATTTCTTACAATTCAACAAAAGTTTATTACGCTCAAACCAATATGAAAAGAAGGCAATGCTGTTCTGAGTGTCAGCAATCAATGTAGGTATTTAAAAGAGTATTATCGTCTGCAAACATTACAAGGAAACATGATGACACGCCTGGCATTTACAAAAAGCAAAAATAGT